CATACAATTAATTGCAAAAAAAGGTAAAACAAAATCAATTTTCTGAATAGTGGATCTCTGCTTTTCATTAGAATCTTGTCTTTCATCTACACTCTATAGTTTTGAATTACAGTCATAGTACATCATCAAACAGGGACCAGTGAGAAGAAGTAAAGTCTAATCATTATCAAAGTAAAGCTTATTAGTGTTTTTTTTCACTGTTCAACAAACTGAGGTGTTGATATTATTTTAATGTCTTCATATAAAATCAGCCGACACTTCATAAACATAATGTACTATATTGGTCATAAATAATGATCAGACTGAATTCAGAATTCTGCAGCTAGTCTTCACTGACGTTTAGGTAAGTGATGGTGGACACTCTGTTAGTCCATCACATGACCACAAAGAGACCGCATTCACACTAATTTACAGTCAAACTAATGTAGTGTTAATAAGCACAAGAGAACCACAGACACTAACTGTATTGGGCAACACATAAGGCATTGTAGTTACCCAACTATGTCACAAACAATACGTACCATTTGAATAATTTACCTGTAATGACCTAAGTAAAAGTCATAAGGTGTAGTGCTGTGTTCGATAAACAAAAAATAAATAAATATTGACTGAAAATTACAATAATAGTTGAACATTTGTACATGTACAACAAAGACTGAGAGCATAGGTCCACCATGCATTTGTGTTTTGATTCTGCATATTGCCACATCTTGTCAGCTGAACGTTGTGCTGAATTGATTTGCCATCTACTGCTGTAATGACATCTAGAGGAGCTTTGATAAAACTACTTCCCAAACTTCACACTCATTTGTACAGTTTAAATGGCTGAGAATTCTGTAATTCTTTAAAAAGTTGCTACTCCTTATTTATTAATCGATCTGAAGCTTATGTTATTTTCAGACTCATTAGAGGCAACAATTAAGTCTAGAAGGATTAATGATTTACAGCCAAGCGTTGGAGGCCAGAGTGCAGATCGGGATTGATTGGAGAATAAATGAGTTGTTGATGGAGTTGTAAACAAAATCTACTTCTATTGATATTAATAAACCTCCGCTTGAATAATGAGCTTCTAGCAATCTCCAACTCACCTTCTTTTTTTAATTTCAGCTAAGCAGTCCTGTAATTATGAATGAACACAACAATGGAGGCAAAACAGTAGAATCCCAGCTTATCAAAGATCTTTTTACAGAATAGGGGACAAACTAAAATAAGAAATAAAATCAATAAGAAAACATTTTTAGAAATATACTAACTGTTCTAGACAATGGCACAAAACACAGTTTCTTAGTTGCATTAATAAACTTCATTAAGTAATTTCTCATCATTTTGCTTTAAAAATTGATTTACTTATAGACATACCAAAAGTACAAACAGACATGTGTACTTTTTACTATCTATTTTTTCTCTTATTCAAACAACCACTGGTTCTGCAGTACTGCAAGTATTCCGCAGTTTGATTGTATTAACTAAACCGTACAGAGGGGGGCAGTAGTACCACACCAAGAATATAGTCCCCTACCCCAATAAAAAGTTTGGGGTTTAATAATCTGTTTGGATCAGTGTGCGGAGTGAGTGAGATGCTGCCCGTGAAAGTATAAATTAAGTATTGAAGTTAAGGTGTGTCACGATCGTAAAGTCCATTATGGATTTTATTTTTCTACAAATTATTGTGTAAAAATAAATACTGCCCCTGGAAGTGTGTGACTGCATAGTGTTTTGTTGTTGTCGTTTTCAGTACTATTAGGTACTAATATATATTTAGAGTATGACCTAAATGAGAACTTTAGTCACATATCAGACAGTAATGTACCTGATAAGTGTATGCACTAGTGTGCTGAGACACTGGCTCACACTCTAAAATATCTAAAACAGATATTTTATTCATGGAGAAAATGCTTTATGTTATCGCCTACTTGCAGCTGACCTCGTGATTCATCATTAATGCATCATTTAATCTGTGTATCTGCCCCCTTCTGTCCTTGCAGACACTAAATTAATTATGGGATAAATGGCTATAAATTTTCCATTATACTACACAGGAATAATTGGGTTCGTTTTCTAGTTGCTCTCTTTAGGGTCTATCTGATGCAGTTACATCTCACCCAATGTAAAATCATAAATACTAGTGGAGTTTTAAAACCCCATATGTTGAAGTTCAGTCTCAGCTGTATTTTTCTTTCCGCTCAAGTTGACTTAACCAGAAGCCAAGCTTCTATTTTCATATGTATAGAAATAAAAACAGCCTGGGATGTGTTAAAGATTACCAGCTTTGTCTTTTATTTGAAAAATATAGCAGTTATTTCAGGAGACAGGAATTAAAGGGTTAAGAAGAAAATATATCAATATACTGTAAAAAAAAAAAAAAAGAAAAGAAAAAAAAAAAGTGGCAAAAGTGTCCAGAGAACAGTACAGACTGCACAAAGCTGCATATGAAAAAAAAAAAGTAAAGTAAAGGAAAACATTTTACAGCTGAACTTTGAGTCAGTTATTATTGGGTGTCTTGTCTTTCTTTCCACTTTCCAAACAGCAGCTGTTAGGGACTAGAAAACTTTCAAGCAGACCTGGGGCAGAAGATATTTGCTAAAATTATTTCATACAATTTTTTTCTGTCCTATGTTTCCCCACCATAAAAAACAAAAACATTTAAAATGACAGGAAGTCAAAGACTTAAATCTTTCAAATTTCTAAAGTAACCCAGGCCTGTGAGTCCATTTAGACCACAAATGATGTGTGGCTTAGTGTTGAAACCACTGGCATTCTTCTGGTTCCCACCATGACTGTCGACTGACTGCTGGTAACATTTGTGGATCATTAATAGCACAAATGATATTTACATTAGTTGATAAGGAATGATATTGTTTCCTTTGCTGTGTCTGTCTTTTGGTGAGAGATTTCAGCTGCACACATGGTTAAGTATTTCAAAAAGGTAAAATGAGAGTTTTAACGTTTGGCTCAGCAGTAGAATAACAAACTGACTCAAATGATAGCGCACTTCTACACACACCAAAAAATGTGTTACACAAACATTTAAAAAGTTGCTGCTAAATATACTTGGCAATATCCTCCAGACTGCTTTCCACGCTACAGTTCCTTGTTACCTGTCTATGTAGATATGGTTCTAGCTCAGGCCTTGGGCAGAACATCTTGGCAGTACAATCTAATGTTCACACTGTGCCATGACAGGAAATTCAAAAGCTCCCACTTTCAAATTAGTTTTTACCACTTGATAAAAAGGTCAGTACAAAAGGTCAGACAATAATCCTGTTTTTTTAAGAAGGGCTTGTCTGTTTTGTGTAGTTTTTTTGTAACTAAAGGAGAGTCCTTATCCACTTTATGATCTCAGATCTCACAGCATTAATTCAAAGCAGCACCATCTCGTCTAATGAGCTGACTGGGAAAAAACAGATGATTGTTTAATTGAATGGTCGTTTTTAGACTGTGGTTCAGGTCCTGAAAGTATCTTTCACTCTTGCTGCCTTGAGACGGATCTGAGGCGTTTTTATGAGGATGCTGTGTTGTAGAAACACTCTGTTCTCATTGTTACGACCCGTCTCTGCCCTCAGAGACAAACCAGGACACATGGCTGCTGAGAGAGAGCTGTGGTCTGGACAGAACCAATACCATCAATCATCATATAATCGTTTGTCTACTGCATTGACTCCCTGTCAAACATTCTTAATGTCTCTCTTTCTAACCTGCAAATGCTACCAACTTCAGTAATGATGTGGAATCAGAGCATGTGAGCAGATTTAGGCTACACACAATGATGAGTGTGAGTGGGCAGATTAGGGACGAAGAAAGAGGTTTTTCTATTATAAATACATACATACATACATATATATATATATATATATATATATATATATATATATATGAGTGAGTGTTGCTTGACTGGTCAGCCTGCTATGACTTGGGAATAGGAATAAGAACTAGAACCTCACGTGCGGAAAGCAGTTTTTTTACTGCTCACATTCTGTGTAAAAATTAAATGTGATCACATAGGTATAAAAAACCGACCACAGCCGCTACCTTTTACTTATTAGCAAACAAAAAACAAATACAGCAAATTGTTCTGTAAAATTACCAACTAACACGGCCGTGCCCTGATGATCAATGTCGTGACGTGATTGTGAAGTGATGTCCTAAGTCTTTAATTGCCATGTAACCAGTTAACACGCAAACGGGCGGAATCTTCTATAGTACTGGGAAGTAAGTACATAATCCTGTTAGAGAGACAATTTAAGACATCATAGTGCACACCTGGATCAAAACATTACTCATGGTTAAGAATAAATGACATGACAATAAATACTACTGGGTGTAAATAAAAAGAAATAATTTGCTTAAAAGACAGATACAAAAACGAACTCCCCCATTCAAATACAAACTACTGCTGAACAAGACTTAGGTACTACTGTATGTACACTAGATGTTGTAATAACAAAAGACAGAAAAATGTCAACAAAAAAAGAATTTGAACTACTTAGTGTGTAGGCAAATGAAACAGTCTGAGAGTCACTTCCTTTTTCCAAGTCCACATGACATGACAGCATTACTTTGTGACCCAGTGACATCCTTCCTTCCTTGATCCAAAAATGTGATCATGTGACTGACAGCTATGAGTACACTTCTTTCACCTTTTGATTATGCCTAAAATCAGTGTCACTTCATTATCATGACTTTTGTTATAAATGTACTCCGGGGCTCAATCACAGAAAGTGGTGTGTTCTCGACTTATCTTTACCATGATTTCATGAGTTTTGTGTTGCCAAAAGTGCAACAAAGTCAAACAAACCCAAACAGTACAAGAGTGAAAAATTGTAGGCCAATCTGCATTCTTTGAATGTCTCCCTACTACAGCACGGTGAATAAGGCTTAATTGGTTTCATTTATGATGTTGACAATGTATACAGGTATGGGCTTTATTTACAAGAAGCTTAAAACAGATGTGAACATGCCATTAAATCTTAGCACAGCCTTTTCCAGCTTGTGATGGCCGCCCAAAACCTGGTCTTCGCTTTTAGTGTTTTGGCAAAAACACACAAAAGAGTTACACTCGAATCTCATCGTCATCTTCCTCATCCATGTAGGTGAAATCTCTGTCACTCCCTCCACGAGGTGAGCTGAACTTTGCACTGTCTGTGTCCCCGTCATGGTGGTGGTACTGAGGTTTCCCCTCGGTGACTGAGCCAGAGCTGGACATAGAGCAAGTGTCCAGGTTGTGGTAGTTGTTCCTGGTGTGCAGCTCTGGGGTGTAGGGATCCACTACTGTTTTCTGCTGGTACATGCTGCGAGGTGGTCTTATAGGGGCCAGCTCCTCCACGTCATCATCGATGTGGGGAATGTGGGAAGGTGACTCTCTGCAATCCTTGCCTTCCTCATAGCCGAGGTCATCATCCTCCCAGCCTTTCTTTTCCATCACACTCAGGATGTCCCCAAGCATGGAGGGCCCCAAATCAATGTGGAAAGACATCATCGACTCTGCGTGCTTCATCATTCCACCTCCTCTAGGCATGGATGGAAGCAGATCTGTGAGTTCCCCAAAGTTACGCTCGTCAAACTCGGCATCAAGCGTTGCCATTGATGCAGCTCCATTGCTTGGCTTGGTTTCAATCTCTGTCGTCTTCAAAGGACTCGAAGAAACACTCTTTGACAGTTGGTTGCTTCTGTTAGTATCCTCGTTGTTTAGGTAGGGCAGGGAAATGGCATTTTTCACCAGGCTGGACGAGCTACTTGAAGGTAGCATCGTATTGTAGTCATACTTGTCCGCATGATTTACAGATTGCGAACGCTTGCTGCTTCGGAAGGTGCGGGACAGCAAGCCTGGTTTGGAACCTGGAGAGCTTTGCTTTGCTGTTTGCTGTTCCTTTGGAGGTTCCCCAGATCTGGTGCTAAGAAATGAAGTGTCCCCGAAAGCATCACCACCTCTGCCCACATGCATGGTGTGGCGAAAGTCTCCGAGGGGAGCACTGATCATTTCCGCGGTCAAGTCAATGCGAGACCGCCGCTTTGACTGGTTTGAATTGTTTACCAGCTGTTTGAGAATAGGCATGATGGCAGCCTGTTATTAACAATCCACATACAATGATCAGACAAGTGCTATAAGATGTTAGAAGTCTCCTCCAGAAGACCTTTAACAGGTTTTTTTTTTTTTTTTGGCAGTTCAACAATATGTTGTCAGAGGAAGGAGAATATCTGATGTTTAACTTGTCCAGCCATTATGGTCCTCCTGTATGGGTTTTATGCAATGATGGTAGCCCTGTGAAGAAAATAGAGATGGTTAGCTGTGTCAATATACAGGACTAATTACTATGCAATTTGGCTGGTTAACAAGTTTGGATGTCAAGAAAAAGACAGCATCCTCAAAAGGCTCGCTTTTTCAAGCAAGCAATTTGGAAAAGTCTTGACATTTCTTTGCTAGTTTCAGAGAAAATAATGTGTTGTTAAAAAAGTAAAGACAGAAGGGAATGGGCGTCAGATACATAGCATGTATCTCACTGGTCCAGACTCAAACCAACATTCCCACTACATGTGGCTCTAGGCCTCATCACTTGACTAGCAGGCTGCTGCAACATGAATAACAAACAGCAGGTTGGTGTTATAGTACTGTCCACAATTTTCTGGTAGCATATTTCTGTGCATACATATAACCAGGCAGCATGTTGATTTACCTGACACCTGCATACATTAAATGCTGCACAGATGTCCAAGGAAGCACCTGCATTTTGGTGCTGAGCCTACAAGGACATGTACTGTGAAGTGAACAACATGTGAATAAACAAGCATTGGATTTGTCTAGTTGTGACTCTTTAGTGCATGAACTCGGAGCCAGGTTCATCCCAAGTTCGCAATAGCTTTGACACCGTGGAGCTTATCAAGGTCACAGAACAGCTTTTCTCACCTTGTGAAATTATGGAAGTTTGTATAGCTTTTTTTAAAGCTTATCTTTTTTAATCAAATCCATTCCATCCACATTCAGGTTTAGCATAAGAATCCCAGTTCTTCCCAACTATATAATTGTTACTCATATTCATTTAGAAATCTTTACAATATGATGCACCAAAGTTGTTTCATTTTACATTATAGAAACCAACTTATACACTAAAACACGTCTCATCCCTTCACATCGCATCACACAGCAGTCACACAGCAGTGGGGTGGAGGGGCGTGATTTGAAGGGGCTAGGTGTGGGTGGGTAGTGTTGTGGGCAGGGTTGTGCTTTTCAACATCGACCTTGCATGAAAAAATGTACATCCCGCCAAAAATAAGCATGGCAAAAGAACTGCAACTTATCATTCAAACACGTTGGTTCCCTTTTCCCAGTACTTTTTTTTAAACTCTCTAATACTTATACACTAAAACACGTCTCATCCCTAAAACACGTCTCAGTGCAATAGCCTGAGCTGTCACATTCAGTTTTTCAAATGGCTGCAAAGTCTGCTATCATTTTAGAGCTTAGAGTTACCATTCAGGCCCCACACTATTACATAACCACCAGGATACAGGATACTGGGGCCTGGAGCAGCTCAAGTTGGCAGGAATAAAAGAATTAAGAGGTACAGCATTTCTCTGCCGCAGATTCTCTTGTAGCACAACTAAAGATAGTCAAGACCCCAACACATTTTGCTGTTAACTCCCGTCAACATATGAAAAAATGCTTCCACCTCTGCTATTTCTTGTCACTTGGCTCTCACCTTTGGCAGGCAGTCTCAGAGTTGACGTTTTATCAGCAGCAGCAGGGCATTCTTTTCTTTCTGTGGCTGCTTTATTTTGTCTCTCTGTCAGAAAATAACTATAGGCTGTGCAGGCATAATGTTGGATGACAGAAAAGTGACAGATGTGAAGACAGTGTTCTAGTTTAACACAAGACACTTTGATACTGTCCCTGCTTTGATAATCTTGACTCTACAAAACAAAAGATAAAACGCATTTAATTTAAACACAGACCAAAGTGGCCTTGTCGTCAATGACTATAGGACTGAAGTCAGATCGTAGAAGAAAAGAGAATGGAGATGAGATGATTGAAACACCCACTTGTATGCATGCTACAGTCCTCTAGATCCATGTGTTATTGCCATTAACAAGGCTTTCAATTGTTGTAGCCAGACAGTCCCATCATTCTCAGTGACTTCAAATTGGAGCTAAAGCCTACATTCTCGACCCCCCTCCCGAATGAATGGGAGCTTTACTCAACAATATTCTAATGCAACGTCATCCATGAAAGCAGACATGCTGACAAGAACCCATTCAAGAGGAAAGGCAAATGTTGCATTATAGGGTAGAGAGGGTGGGGGTTGATGGATGAAGGCTGTTGCTGTTGTTGCTGTTGCTCTTTGTTTGGTCCTCTTGAAAAAAAGAAAGGATCCTCCTGAAAAAGAAGCGTACTACACAACCAAACTATGCTGTTGCATTTTGTTTTCAGTGTCAAAAAACTTTAAAACCTTATGTGTTTGTCTTGTTATACACTAAGGAGCTGTGTTCCTCTGCTTTTATCAAGTACAATAACATTTAACACTTAAGAAGTCACTGCAGCCCATTGTTTTCTTACTTCATGTGAAAACCAGTAGGCAAGTTTGCTTGATTATATGTATACCTGAGGCAGATGCAAGCAGATGTTCCACTAGGTGGCACTTCAGGAAAACACCTTTAAACACAGCTGAACTTTTTGTGAAATACAAGCACAGTTGGAACACAGAAACCATGTTTCCTCGTTGCTGTGTTTAAAAATGGAAATGGTTTCAATTTGTTGTTTTTATCTGATTTGTTTGTAAGACATTCTCTGGAAGGTCATATAGTGTTTCATTCTAGAAATTGGGTTTATAGGTTGCCTCTTATTAATGTGCCAAATGTGTCTCCAGAGACGCTGCAGGTAGTGTTCATGTAGAGACGTTTGCTTGTGGACGGTGAACGCTTTCTATGTCACATTCTGGGCTAGAGGAACTCAATAATGAATCAATTAGCTTAGCTACTAGTGATAGTAAAAAGTCTTTGTGAAAAAAACTGAACAGTGTTCAGGACCCACTAATACTTTTATTTTGCAGCAGATTCAACGCTTTAATCCCTCTTTTTTTATGAGACAAGCACTAGCATTGCATACTGTGATTTGCTTTTTTCCCCCTTGTACCTTTTCTATAGTGGTAACTTGTTGTCTCTGAAAGTGCAACGTACTTATATATATATATATATGTATATATATATATATGTATATATATATATATGTATATATATATATATGTATATATATATATATGTATATATATATATATGTATATATATATATATGTATATATATATATATGTATATATATATATATGTATATATATATATATGTATATATATATATATGTATATATATATATATGTATATATATATATATGTATATATATATATATGTATATATATATATATGTATATATATATATATGTATATATATATATATGTATGTATATATACAGTTGCAGATCTGTGACTGTTGGACGCCAAATTATATAGCAGACCAACCACTATGGTCCCAAAGAACTGAACCATGTTGCTCTGAACATTGCACAATGCGTCATATCATAAGCCTAGTTGACTATTTTATGCCTTGACCGACAGCCAATTAGCACTGTTGTGCAAACATCATTTAAATGTGTAACTGACCAGTCAAGACAACTAAACAACTGACACCATACTTTCCACCCCTTGTAGTTTTCTGTTTCTCTTTGGCAACATTTGGGCAGAGCTTTCTCTCTAAGGCTGACATAGACAAACAGTTTAAAGCTCACCCATGAATTTACCCACCTTTCCTTGTGGTCACATGCAGGGTAAAAGGACAATTGACAAAGTGTGAGATA